AGGCATGGCCTCAAAACCAATAAATAAATAAATAAATATTGTTTTCTAATTAGAGCTACACATGACATTGCTTAGACACTAATTCAGGCTTTGTGCTCAGAGTCACTCCTGGCTGGGCCAGAGCAATGCCAGGAATCGAACCCTTGCTTCCTACCTGCAATGCAGGTGCTTCAGCCTGTTTAGTTCTGTCTCAATCCCATAAACATGAAGTCTTCACTGGAAAAGAGTGAGAGAAAAAACGGTGACTCTGGCTAGCAATGTATTTCATTTTGTGTGTGTGTGTGTGTGTGTGTGTGTGTGTGTGTGTGTGTGTTCTACATAACAGAACCAATTTTCAGTCTAATGGAGATAGATGGAGCCCAAGAAAGTAAATCCCCTCCTGTTTCGTTGTCTTTCTTTCAGAGATTTCTGGAATGTTTCGGTGAGGTCTCCTGGTTGGCAGCAGTTCTGTAATTGTTCTATCATTGCAGTACCTTTATTCCAGCCCATGGTGAGAACCACCCCTTCAGGCACTGCAACTGTGGTGGCCCACCCCTGCTCTTACCCTCCTCACTTCCCAGTTTCCTGATCAGGTCTGAAGGTCTGTTTGCCCTGGGGATAGCATTAACCCCTTCCTTTGTTTCCCTCTCCACTGTATTTGTCTGAGCTGCTCTGAAGCTCATCTTCAGTCATGTAGTGCTACATCCTACAATTCCATCCAAGTTGCAGCAAACTACAAGATTCTGTATTTCCCCCAAGTTGCAAGAGCATTCCATCGTGCACATAGATCACACGTGCTCAATCTACTCTCCGTTGTCTGGTCCTTGGGCTGTTTCCAGATCTCAGCGATTGTATACGATGCTTCCACAATGAGCAGAGGTGTGCATATGTCCCTTTGGATTAATGTTTTCGCTGTCTCCCTCCCACTGTTTTTCAGCCCTCGATGCTTTTCTCCGATTCTCTGTGCAACCATCTGTCGCACGAATGGGTGTTAAACTGAATTATAGCCCAGAAAAGGGCAAGGGTGCAATATCTGACAGACCAGCTGTGAGCAAACGGTTGCTTCTGTCTGTGGGGCTGTGTCTACGCTTGGGAAAATAGTCTACTCTTCCTGGCTGCTATTGTCCATGATAGCAATAGTCACCGTCACTTCAGAAATGGAGCAGAACAGGTAAGCCCTGCGACAATTAGAAATTTTCACTTTCCAATCTTAGTCACAAGCGGAAACTTTCCTAAGCACGTAAACAGGCTGATTCCACGGTGACCTAAATATTTCTTGATACTTACAACTGTCATTAATCAGTGATGTTCTGTTGTTCAACCTGCTGCTTTTCACAATTACTAACTTCCTTCTAAAAATAATCGTACGCCTAAATTTAAACCTTGTCTGTTTTCCTCTCTACAGATGAAATTGTAAAGAGGAAAACAGACAAGGTTTAAATTGCTTACTTTGTGATTACGTAAGCTTGTCCACTTTATAGATCAATCTTTGAGGATGACGTCATCCTAACACTGTTGTTGACACCGAGTCGCTCTTTGCCCCTGTTCCCTCTCACCACCAAAGGTGACATGAATCTGATTCATTCGTGCCTGCATTTGGATTGCGCACATCAAATTTGCAGGACAGCGTTTTACGACAGTTGCTTAACACAGTTGTTATTTAAAGATTTATAGATGTGTGAGAGGTACTGCCACTTGATTAAATCTCCAAACAGGTCTAATTATCAGCGAGTTCCTCACATTTCTTTCATAGATAGAGTATCTTTTGCTTTGGATGCTTGGAGGCAAGTCAGGATTCTCCACGATGGAATGACAACTTTGTCTTGTTTTTGACAGTAAGAGATCCTCAAAAGCAAAAATGGAATAAAGTTGCTACCCCAGAGTAAGAACGCACCGTTTCTGCTGAATTCAACCCACAGAAATGATAGCAAAATATGTTGAGTTTGAGAAGGTGCCCCAGCAAAGTGTAGTTATCACTTTATAACATCTCACTGTGTTATAAAAGTGAGGAAGTTCTTTCCTTTTTAGTGGATTTCTACTGAAGGACATAGAAGGGCGCTGTTTCACGTTTCATACTAGGTTGCAAGTTAGGTAGAAAACATTTGGTGCAGAAATTCTTTTAATCACATTTTTTTAAAAACCGAATTAATTAGAGACCTTCAATAATATGAACTTCTAGTTCTACCTCTCTCAGTTTTCCTACACATCCATATAGGGCATCTGATTTGAAGTGAATTTCATCCTCAGAGCTGGTCAGGTAGGGTCTGGGCAGTTGTGGAAGGGAAAGACTAGTCTCTGGAGATCCTTTGAGAACAAGCCTTCTTAAACCGGGAGGGACCTTCGAGGTGGGACCCAAAGGCCCAGGGAGGCTGGGGCTGGATCCTCAAAGCCAAGAGGGGTGCGGTGTGAAGTCTGGAAGGACGAGAAGTACATTGGCTTTGTTCTTGTGAAGAGCATCCGCAGATTTAGGCTTTATTTTTGATCAGCCTATGAACAAAAGCCTGCTCTACAAGTCAAAGGATTTAGTACTTTAAAAAAAAAAAGTGACTTATATAAAAAAAAGCCAGCTTCAAAAGAAGGTAGTTCCTATGGTCTGTTAAGGGAAACTTGAGCTCTGGGCGCTTTTTCCCAGAGCTCTGGGAACCTTCCCCAGCGCTGATAACCCGACTGCAGAGTTGTTTGCGAGAGCAGGAAAGATCTGGAAAATTCAGAGCGCCTTTTTCGTGTGTCAAGAGCCAGGGTGCTGGAGGATACCGGGCAAATTAAGCCTTTGTTACCGTTGCGCTATTTCCGCCAAGGCCAGCGCCCTGGGCGGGGTGGCCGAGGGAGGGTGCTGGACAGAGGTGCCCCGGCCTCCCGGGTGGCCCCGCGTCGCCAGCTCCCGCCGCAACGAGGCCGCGCGCCCGTAGGTGGCGCCCCGCGCCCGTGTTGCGCTCAGCCCGCGGGGTGGCCGCCAGCGCGTCCCCGGCCCGAGCTCGGAGCGGGCGTCGGGACAGACAGACGCGCCCCAGGCCGGAGCGCCCGGAGCGTCAGGGGCGCAGCCGGAGCCCGGAGGCTGCACGGTCCCTGCTCCCCCCACCCCTTCCCGTTACCCCGAGCGCTCCCCGGCAGTCCCAGGGGTTCGCTTTGGTTTTTTTTCTTTCTTTTTTTTTAATTGGGGGTGGGTGGGAGGGGTGTCGGCTTCGCCCCTTCCCTAAGGATGAAAGTGCTCAAGCCGTTCAGGAATAAGACTTGGAGGGAATTTGGAGACGCCAAGAAAGCATCGCAGAGCAGAGGCGCGCCGGGGGCTCCGGAGGGGGCCTGAGTGGGCAGCGACCCCCGTCCGGGCCGTTCCTCTCCGGGCGCCGCGGTGAGAGCTGGGGGGCGGCGCGCGGGGTGATGGGGACCCAGCCCGAGGGTGGTGGGGGACAGGCGCGGAGGGTGGGGGTGGGAAGGGTCGTGCGCCGAGTCCTCTGGGCATCGGGCGCCCTTGGCGGTGCCGTCTGGAGGCAGCGGGGGAGACGGGATTTGGGGAGCTGACGGTCGGGGCTGCTCTGCGGGTGCCGGGGGGCTCCCCGGGGGCTCCCGACCCTGCGGACGGACGCGGCGCGGGTGGGCAGGTCGCGGGGCGCACCGGAGCGGGGTGTGCAGGACCAGGGAGTGCGGGCGCGGGGCGCGGGGCGTGCGGGGACGGGGCTTGCGGGACGCGAGGCGCGGGGAACGGCGCTCCCGGGCGCGGGGCGTTGGGAACTGGGCGCGGGGCGCGCGGGAGCCGGGCGTGGCGCGGGCCGGCGGGTGCGGGGCGCGGGGCGTCCCCGGTGCGGGCAGGGGCAGGGCGGGGCGGCCGGGTATTGGCCGGGGTCCCCCCGCCCCGCCAGCTCGCGTTTCGTCTTCCCCGGGCAGAGCAACTTGTCGGGCGGCCGCGCTGCTCCGAGCATGGACATTCCAGGTAAGCGCCGACCCCGCTGCCGCCGGCCGCGCGGGCTTAGCGTCCACTTGCGATCGGGCACCGTTGGGACGCGCGGGTGCGCGGGGCGGCCGGGGCCAAGGGAGGCCCGGGAGATGGGGACGCTTAGCTCGGAGCTCGCGTGGCGCCGGGGACGGGAGGGACAACTTCGCTCCCGCAGATGCGCGGGGAGTTGGGCTGGCGGGGCCGGGAAGGGAGCGGAGACGCCGCGGCGCCTTTCGGGGGGCTTCCCCGCGCGCCACCCGCGCCCGGCGCCTGGGAAAGTGTCAGGGGGCACGTCGAGCTCGGAGCCCGGCGACCGGGAGCCAGCGAGCCAGGAGCGAGAGAGCAAGCCTGCAGAACACACCCAGCCCCGCGGTTCGGGCCGGGGGACCCGGGGGTCTGGGGCAGGCAGCGACTCAGAGGGAGCCGGTTGCAGGGCGTCGCTGGAAGGGGTTGTTGAGCGCCCACAATCACCCCCTTTCCTTCTCCCCCAACGCTCTCCCCGAAGGAGCTTCCAGGGAATGAGTTCCTGGAGTGAAAGGCAGACACGATCTGCCCGAGTGGACTTCTTAAAATAGCCTCCCCGGGAGGGCGAACAGAGAGCCTGGAGAGAAAACGTTTCTCCGCGCGGCTTTCCAGAAAAACGCCGCCGAAACGGAGGTCATGGGGCTTTGATGGGGTCTTTCCTGCTCTGGGCTTGGAGCTTCCCCAGGCCCGTGGCTGAATGGGCCGCGGTGACACCCAGGCGGGGTGGGGTGGGGACAAGAGACCCCCAATCTTTGCACTGGGGCGCTGCAGTCCTCGGGGGCGCGGAGCTCCCCGCGTAGGGCACCCGCGCACCCCGGGGACCTGTTGTCACGTCTGGGGGTGGGGGCGGGCGCCGGTGTGTGCCTGGCCCCGAAGGTGGTCCCCGGGGCGGGGTCCCCGCGCGACGCGCCCCTGCCCCTCCTCCCCCGCGCGCCCGCGCCTCGCGAGCTAAGCTTTGGGGTTCTTCGCCCTGACAGGTGTGCCGGCGCCCGTCTTCTGAGGACGCCCCGGGCCCGGACCCTCCGAGGCGGGCACCGAGGCCAGCGGACGCCCCCCAGCCCCAGCCCACGACCCGGCGCCCTCCCGCGCTCCCGCCCGCCCCCCGCACGCCCCGGGCCGGGGTCCCCGCGCGCCGACCATGCCCGCGCGTCGGGGGGCGCCCAGCGAGCCGGCCGGCTGCGGGTCCGGCCTGGGGGCGGCGCTGGCCCTGCTGCTGCTGCTGCTGCCCGCCGGCCGCCCGGTGCGGGCGCAGAACGACACGGAGCCCATCGTGCTGGAGGGCAAGTGCCTGGTGGTGTGCGACTCCAGCCCGTCGGCCGACGGCGCCGTCACCTCCTCGCTCGGCATCTCCGTGCGCTCCGGCAGCGCCAAGGTGGCCTTCTCGGCCACGCGCAGCACCAACCACGAGCCGTCGGAGATGAGCAACCGCACCATGACCATCTACTTCGACCAGGTCAGCGGCCGCCCGGCCACGGGCCGCGGGACTGTCCGGTGGCCCCCGCGCGACCCCCAGCGCGTCTCCCTTCCCGCCCCAGGCGCGCCCGGTGCGTCCGGGGCCCCTCGGGACTGTGGCGCCGGGCTTGGCACTCGCGGGCCTGGAGAGGCCAGCTCCCTCTCTCTTTTTTCTGGGAAACCTTAGAGTGAAGAGGCATCGCCTCCCTGCTCCCCACCCAGGCACTGTTTTCCCTGGAAATTGCAGCCGCTGCTTTCTGGGGCTGATGGGTAGTAGCCACTAGGTGACTGACCCATGTACGGATGCTCCTTGTTCTGCCCCGGGGCTTCTCTGATCGCCAGCAGCGAGCCAAGAGGTGCCCTGTTAGTTCCTGCCACTGGGCGGTGGCAAGGATGTTTCTCTGCAAGAGAGTTCAGTGCCGGGTGGGGGTTGGGGTGAGACAACCCGAGAAAGTCTAGATAAGTCACAGAAAACAGAGTTGGAGCATGGCACAAACGCAAGCCCGACACCACAGCCGGTGCATGGAACTGCCCACCGCCTGCTATCTGAAGGGAACTGCAGAGGGTGGCTCCAGAAAGGGCAAGCATCCCTGCTTTTAAAGGGTATTAACGTCTCCCTCCTCCCTGAACTCCTCTCCATCCTTTGCAGGCAGAGGGCTGGCCGGAAGTGGCAGGCCTCTGCAGTGCTCCCTCAGGGTTACTGCCGCTCTGGATGGCAGGCTGCAGGTGCTCCGGCTGTGCTCCTCGGTGCCCCTAACGCCTCAGATACAAGGGGGAAGCCATCCAGTCTCTTCCAGCTTCGGCTTTGGTTCCTTTTCTTGAACCCAATTGGTTGGCCCACCACAGAACCTCCGGGTTGACTGTGTGTGGCTGTTCCACTATGCAGCACTGTGCACCCCCCTACCCCACCCTTTCCGGGGAGGCTGTTAGCACAGCCAGGCCTCTTGTAGCTTATAGACCAGGTGTTCATCTGTTGTAATGCTCAGTGAAGATGGTCTGTGATTTATTTTTTTGCGTGGGGCGGGGGGAGAGGAGGGGAGGGCGGTTGGGGAGGGGATTGATGGAAGACATCTTAATCTGTTTTCATTTTCAAGACTTCAGATAGGTATTTGGAAATGACCTACCCTATTAATATCTTTTTTCCCTGTTCTTCCTGTTTCTATCCACCTCCAGTTATCTTAGACATTGTTCTCCCAGTGGTTTACTACTGGTCATTTCACGTGGGGTCCAGAACACTTGGGTTGTGGGGCAGAGGAAGAGGAAGGGGATCAGATTTTATGCCTGAGCGATGCAGGCAGGCGAATGGTGTATTCCCATGACCTCAGGTAGAGACTCACTGTACCTCAATTTTCTGGGGCAGCTTAGGTGGTCTTTCCTCTCTGCCAGTCCTCTGAACTAGTTACTAGCGCCCCAAATTTAAAATTGAGGAGAAAGTTGATTTGGGAAAAGCTGTTCTGGAGGTCTTGAAAAAAGACCCCTCAGTGTTCAAAGCCTGCAGAGGGTCTGAGAGTCCAGCTCTGGGCAGGCCAGGCAGGCAATGTCAATCTGTAACAATAGAGCCCCGAGTGTAGCCCATGGCCTGTGTTCTGTTGTCCAGGGCTGAAGTGGGGCTGTGCTCGGTTGGGGAGGAGTCTAGTGGGCGTTGCATTTCACACCACTGTGGGAATTACCTGTGATTAGAGCAGCCCAAGTGTGTGTGTGTGTGTGTGTGTGTGTGTGTGTGTGTGCATGAGTGCATGCGTGTGTGCATGCACGTGCGGAAGTCCTCACCGCAGAGGTGGAAGGATGTTTTCTAGTCAGAGGACAACAGATCTCATCTATGGGGTCTCATCTATGTGGCCACTGGCTTTTTTGTCTTAAGAGTCATTCTATTGTCTTCCTGGAGCTTTGGTGCCTGGGTTGGGTCAAGAATGGGTTGCAGACACTGGGCTGAGATTCTGGTTGCCAGAGCTGACTGGGAATTGGATGACAATGAGGGACCCTCCCTCCTCATGGCTGGCCAGGGCATTGCAGGTTTCTCACCTCCCTTTTTTATTTAACAAGAAGGAAAAGCACCAGGGCAGGGCAGAGTCATCTGACCTCCAGTCTCAGGGCTGACTGTGTCATTGTCCTTTCTCTCTTGTGAAATTCCCCTGCTGGAAAGGAAAGCTTCACACCCTGCCCCGTCCTTTCCTCCTTTAGTTAGTTAGGCCAATTGGCATGATGTCATAGCTTCATAGCTCTGCAAACACATTGCTCAAAAGGATGGAGCAGCAGACACAGCTGGTGTCCCTGGGGCAGAGCCTGGCCTGTCCCCATTCTATATGTGGGGTCCATAACAGGGTCTAGGGAGACCTGACTTCAGGACAGGAAGTGGGGGCACAGCCTGACCTGCCCTGTGCTCTTTTGCCTTTTCCCTTATTGGTCTCTCCTGGGCAGTCCCATAGCTCTCTGTTGTATTGTTGTTTTCTGTTGTACTGTTGTTTTCAGTGCGTTTGGTTTTGAATTTAGGACCACACCCAGCAGTGCTCAGAGCTCAGTCCTGGCTGTGTCCAGGGTTGCTCGGGGCATCAGATGTGGTACCAGGACTTGATCTGAGGTTGCCCAAGTGCAGTGCAAGCGCCTTCAGCCTTGCACTGTCGGCCGGCCACAAGGGCTCTCTGTTTGGGTCGAAGCTTCAGACCCACTTGTCTCACTCCACAGGGCTCTGCTCAGGTTCAATCTACAATTCCTTGTCTCATTTTCTGGCCTCAGCCTCTCTCTGCCTTCCTTCCAGCCCCCAACATACACACAATTTGCATCCATGCATCGATAAAGTCCACTTTAAAACTACGAACGGCCACCCCTTAGAATAGCTCTGAAATCAATTCCTGCCCAGATTGTTTGAACTGCAGGAGCACCTCGCCTCGCCTTGGGGCAGCTGGCCTCGCTGAGCGGGTCTCCTGTGGCTTGGGAACGGGTGCTGGGATCTCACTGAATTTTCTTCCCAATGTGAGGGTGAGCGAGAGCTGCCGAGGGGGTGTCTCTCGGCGAGTGCTGCATCCGCCCTTCTTTTCCAGGTCCTAGTAAACATCGGCAACCATTTCGATCTTGCCTCCAGTATATTCGTCGCGCCGCGGAAAGGGATTTACAGCTTCAGTTTCCACGTGGTCAAAGTGTACAACAGACAAACCATCCAGGTGGGTAGGATAAGCCTGCAACCCTCTGCTTCCTCTCCTACCCCCTGCCCCCATGGTATGGGTCCCCGGGGAATGGGAGCCTGGAGACAAGAGGACCCCTGGGTGCATGTGGGGGGCCCGGGCCTCTTGTCTCTGCTGGCTAAGCTCCCAACTCTGCATTCTAGGTGAGTCTGATGCAGAACGGCTACCCAGTGATCTCAGCCTTTGCGGGGGACCAAGACGTCACGAGAGAGGCGGCCAGCAATGGCGTGCTGCTGCTCATGGAGCGAGAAGACAAAGTTCACCTCAAACTGGAGCGAGGCAACCTCATGGGCGGCTGGAAATACTCCACCTTCTCGGGCTTCCTGGTCTTCCCTCTCTAAGGCAGAGCTCCCGGCCCGTGGGATGCTGAGTCCGCCAATCTGCAGTTCCTCGTCCCCCACCCCTCCCCGGACTTGTCCGAATAGGACCGCCTCCTCCGACAGACAGAGACGTTTGCGGTGGAAGAATGATGTCCTTCTGCATTTCCAGAATTTTCTTTGAGTATTGACAGTTCCTCAGGATCCTGGCCTCTAATGAGTTTTTAGGCAACAAGGTCTGAAGGAGAAGGGAAGAGGGACCGGAGCGATTTGTACCTGTGATTGTAAGGTCATCATCGAACAGGGGATGTGACGCTCAGCACCGCTGACTTTGCTTTCCTGGGAGGGGCCCTGCTGAGGCCAGCCCATGCAGGCTGTCTGCAGGTGACAGCAGGACTCAGCCTGGCTCTCGCAGACCCTGAACTGTGTTCTCTGTGTGTCTGTCCAGCCTTAAGACAAGCGTGGCTTCCCCTTCATTCTGTGTCCCCGGGGAGAATGGGGGGCCTCGGGAGGGGGCAGGGGACATTGTGAATCTGTCAAGAAGTGCTTTATCCAGAGAAGCAAATTTTGCACGATTGGACCGTGACTTTTGTATTGTTGGTGTGTGTCTCTATGGTTTATTCTTTCCCGCGCAAAGCTTTATTTTCGTTCCACTCTGCTCTCCTGCCTCGTCTCTACTTCTGTTTTTCCTGCTGGGGAGAGGAAAAGCTGTTGAGTTCCTGGAGAAGACCAAACAAAACCATACACACGCAAAAAAAAAAATAGCTGGGCGTATGTATTGTCTGGGATGAGACCAAACCATCCGCTGGTTCCTGGCCATCGAAGTGAACGTAATAAATGGGCAATTCTGCTTCTCCGTTTGAGTAGATGCTCTCAAGCACCTTCCAGATTCACCACCTGGGCTTTTTTCCTTTTCGTGTGCGCTCTGGAATACTTTGAGGACCTGATGCATTCGTGGGTTGGTGTGAATTGGCGGCCCGCCAGGGTGTGGGGCTTCTCAGTGCTGGATTTTTGTGAATTTGGATTATCTTGCTTTGAGCACATTGGATCAGGAGCTTCAAAGGCAGCAGGGCCAGCCCCTGTCTCTCGGGACCTTCCTCTGATGTGCCAGGGATCGCGGACCTGGCGCTGCCTGCCAGCCAGTGCTGGGCAGGATGCCACCTGTCACCCGGATGAAGACAGTGTTGCGGGAGCCCCGGGAGGGAGCCTTTCCTCCTGCTTCCAGCCTTGGAACGTCACGCAGCAGCGTTGCCGGAGTGTCGGTTGAGAGTTGAGGGGTGCAGGATTGGTATGCCAAGGAAATGTCACTAATCCCAAAGCAATCCAAGAAGAGACCTCAAACCGGATGTTAATTTGTCCTTTGTGTAACAATGTAACCAAAATATTGATGATACAAAGTCATAATTTAAGATTCAGAATAAAAGGGTTTGATGTCTGCCTTGCTCTTCTCCCTCCACATCTTCTCCTGGCTTCTAGAAGGGTGTGTAGGTCAAGGCCAAACACCCAGGATTTAGGGGAAAAGTCATACATACACACACCATACACACACACACACACACACACACACACACACACACACACACACCCGTGCAGGTTTAGCTTGAGAATTTCTTTAAGCAGATGCATTACTCAAACTGATACAAGCAATGTTGGTAGAGACAGTATGTGTAAATATAACATTTAATAGATGGTGCAAGTGTGGCAGTATGCTTTTAAAGGGGGATGTGGGTGTTCTAGCCACACTCAGCACTGCTCAGGGATTACCTCTGGTTGTGTTCATGGAAACATACACGATGCCAGGGATGGAACTGGGCTTGCTTGCAGGCAAGGCCAGCTCCTTACCTCCTGTCCCATCTGGCCGGCCCCAACATGCTTTCTGTGACTCAGAATCTTGGAAGTAGGGACAGGTGCCTTCCTGTGCTAGGTTGAGAAAACAGTCATACAAAAGAAGCGTTTAGAGTTTCTCAGATAGGCCTGAGGATGGGGGAATCGTTGGATTTTATTGTCCAAAAAACTTGAAGTGGGAATATATAAAAGAAAAACAGCTTAATCGAGTGTCTTGGTTTGGTTGGCCTTCTTTAAAGGGTTTAATAGGATGCAGAAGTTAATTTGGGTTAAAATGCTCTACTTTTTTGGTGAAGAACAAAAATGCTGAACTAAGGAGGATTCCAGGCTGTCTTTTTGATTAGAAGATGCTCTTTTAAATAAGTGTGCTGGTTAGTGCTGTTGCCAATACCCAAAGCAGGGCAGTAGCTACTTCCTCCCCGTCGTGCTTTCTTGCCTCATACCATCCTTCGTTCTGTCTCTCTCTCCCATGACCTGTTCGAGAAAAAACAAACCTCCTTTGAGCCAGGTAACCCTTCAGAGGTTTCAAAACATTTCAAACCTTGCTGTTTTAATGTTCCGACTTGTATGTAGAACAAGTAAGCTTGTGCGACTGTAACCTTATTACATATAAGTGGCCCTTTGGTCCTCTATAAATAAGTTATTAAATGGACCTACCTAAATATATTTTTTAGGAGTTTGTTTTGCATCACGGACGCAGCTTCATCCTGTTTATTCCACTTCTATCGTTATGTTTTTCTGAGAGGGATGCCAAAGACTACATTAGGCAAGAGCCACGAAGCGGGTGTTTGTGAAGTTGTTTTCCCCACGCTGCCAAGTCTGCTGACATTTTACTTGGCTGAAGATCTTTGAGGGAGATAAAGCATCTATGGATGGGCTCCCGAGATTCATGGCTCCGACCAAAATCACAGCATGTTTTTCCTTCAGTTGGGGTAAAAATATAAAAGAGCAGCCTGATTTAGCATCCCCACCTCTGAACCTGGCTGCCATCTCTGGAAGAAGGGGACTATCTACCCACCTTCCAATTGCTCCAAGGTCATGGCGAGGTCACCCCTGAGTGTTGAGAACTCGTGGAGCACAGGGGACGTCTTTATGGAGAGCTGGGGCCGTTCTTTTAGCTTATTCCTCTAGTCATAGATTTTTTGAAAACAGTTACAATCTTCTTCAAGTATGGTTTTTAAAATTTAATTAAGTTTGGGCCACATCTGCAGTGCTCAGGGTTTACCCCTCGCCCTGAACTCAGGACTCTCTTCTGCCCTGGATAAGGGCAGATAAGATGCTGTGATAAGGGTTACATCTATACACCTGGCAAGCTCCCTACCACTGCAGTATTGCTCCTGTCTTAAGTCTATTCTCCTCTAAAATACAGCCTTTGTTGATTCAACCAAGGAGCTTGAGAAATTCTATTGACCGTCTGTGATTACTGAATCTTTCTTTGTATCCTAACTTTTAAAGCTACTGATACTATCATTTCTAATGATATCAGTTACATTTTTAAGTCGATTCTTGCAAAAGGTTTCTTAGGCAAAGATGATCCATTTTCTTGCCTTCACATTGGTAAGAAAATTTATAGAGTCCTGAAGAGATGTCCCAAATTTACCTGCTTGGGAAAATCTAGTTGAATACACAAACCAACCCCCCAAATTAGTCAAACCTTTCATTATACGCATATGAGTTTCTCATATCAAGAAAAGTGCTACCAAGTTATTCTGCCATTACCTACACATATATATCATCTTTCTATAAATAGCAGATAAAAATACTTGATTTTTAAAAGTTATTGTGACATCACTTAAAATACATAGAGTGGCCACATTCTCTGCAAACCCAGGTATGTGTGAAGAGACGTTTGTATAAAACGCGTCATAAAGCAAAACGGAGACACTCTTTGCTCCAGTCTCTCTTACAGGATAAAAGACTTTCCATCAATTTGTCCCCATTATTTTGTAACATTTTTTAAGAAAATAAATATTTCAAGAAGAGAATGTTTCTATGAATAAATAGTAAGCGTTGATTTTTGTGGCGGTAGTAATCTAACCCATAGCACACATGAATGAAAAGCATGATGCATTATATTTAAATTGTTTAAATAAAATAAAGGAAACTCTTAGAAGCAGGTCAAACTGAATCACTCTGAAAGGTTGACTGTGCATCCTATAAAAAATTTATAAGAAATATAAAACTACATTAACTAGAAAAGATCTCTGAGTTTTTGCCCATTTGCCTTATTTCTATAGGAATTTGCTTGTCATTGTAATTCTGTTTCTAAAACTGACATTTTCAAACTGAGATGGGGCAATATAACATTATTTTAATCTTTGAGATCAGGATATATGAATTATCATGAGAATTTTATAATTTCTTTTCTTGAAATTTAGGAATATGGTTGCCAAATGCACAAAAGTAAAAAATAGCACACTTTCAATTTTGGCTGTCATTGTGTACATTTATTATATTCTAATTTTTCCCCATACTTAATGAAGACTACAAGTTACAAGGACCCTTGTATTTTAAGAGGCATTTTGAAGATGATTTTGCAAACACAAATTCATTTTTCTTCAAAACAATCAATTTTTTAAATACCGAAAATGATTTACTGTCTGTCCCATGGGACCAAATCCATTCATGTTTCAATAGTCTAGATGCTATGTTTCTCGCTTTCAATGGTTTTATTAGTCAGTTCCAGTCCTTATTCACCTTAAAATATTGACAAGATTCCTCTAAATTGGATTCAATGAATGTAGGCATTTTTTTAAAAAAAAAAAACAGCCCTTGTGTCTGTATAACATAATGCCAGAACAGAAATTTTATGTAAATGAGCTTTCCTTCCATTACAAGCCTACAAGGACAATCTGAAATATGTGAGGGCAAACGCCCCATGGTTCTGTCTTGCACAGATAAGAGTGCGCCTTGGTTGTACCTTTCTAAGTGGATTTTGCTGTGGACTTGTCACCTGTGTCACTTCAGTGGTTCTGACATCCTAAGGCTTCGTCTTCATCAGTTTGCCCACATTCATGCGGCGTGTAGCATAAACGAGCTCCTTGACAACTTAATTTGGAGAAGAAATCTTCATTCCTCTCCCTAATGCTTGTGGCAGGACTCCCCGGGGTGAGAACACTGCACTTGGCTGGAGCCATCCTAGCAGAACGGAAGCTTCTTATTAATGAATCACCAGCAGGCTTGCAAGGCAACTCACATGCCTTCCCTTTTATTATTCTTC